TTTCGATATTTTTATTTCTCCATATTATTTATTCAGGCCACCTGTGGCTCTGTTCGCTCCATTTACTTGATCTTCCACATTCTGTTTTGAGCTTTAAGTAGCTAGATGGTGTGATACCTATATATATACACCATCACGTGCCCCTCTTCTTCTTCATGTACCATGTCCTTTCAGAACGTTGGTTACCATCATAGCTATTTTAATTTTATTCACTGCCACCCTAAATAGCATGCTTGTATCTACACCATACCAATCTCGCAAGTTCTTCAACCATGAGGTTCTTCTTCGTCCTGGACTGCGTTTGCCTGCTATTTTTCCTTGCATGATATTTTGTAGCAATCTATATTTGGGACCCTCTCATTACATGTCCGAAATGAGAGCCTCATCACGTGCCCCAATATCTGAAATTCCAGCTTCAATTTACATCTTAGTAAATTTGCTGTAATAACTCACTTGATGTTCTTAATTTTTTATTTCATTCATGATCAGGTTAAACAATAGAGAATTCAAGAAATTTCAAAGAATATGAGAATTCTAACTTTCTCCTTTTAATAGTATACATCACTTTGCTCATCTTTCTTTCCCCATTCTTCGTAGTACAATCTTGTAGGTTATCTTGTCCGCTCATGATGTGTATAGCCACATCTCCAATGCTTTAAGCTTTTTCTCTATTTCTTGTGAATTACACATTCCTGGATGAGTGTCCAGGATTTAACTCCGTAATATAATATCGAGAAGATATAACATCGTAAGAGCCGTACTTTTATCTCCAGATTAAGGTATTGGCTTTTAAAGAGTTTAGCCACGTTGTTCAATGTACTCCTAGCCTTCTCTATTCGATACTTTACTTCTGGTGAGTGATCTCATTGTTCGTTTACTATTGTTCCAAGATAGATAAACTGTTTTACTCGGAACACTGGTGTATTCTTGATAAGCAGTTCCACATATTTAATTTCATTTTTGCTGATGACCATAAATTTAGTTTTTGATATGTTTACTTGTAGTCCAAATCTTTCACTTACTTTATTAACATTGTTTATAAGTTGTAAACTGTTTAAACTGTCTGCAAAAATAACGGTGCCATCTGTATAGAGGATGTTGTTTAGGCGTTCTTCATTTAAAAGAATTTCATGTTTTTCATGCAATTTTCCAAGGCTTTACTAAATATTTCCTCTGAATATAGGTTGAATAATATAGGTGAAACTATATATCAAAGTAAACATCATAAAGTATACATTGAATGAAAATATTACTATACAATAATTGTTAGAAAAAGTTATCAATTCAAAAAAGGACACCAGCTGTTTACAGGTTTAAAACAAGTATATCATAACATTTTTCATAACAAGATAGTACCTATATGGATGACCATGGCAAGCATAGAGGTACCATGTAGGATTATTAATTTAACCGAAATATATACATTGAGAATTTAATGGCCAGACTGGGAAAATATACCTCAAAAAAGTTTTCTGTTACCAGAGGTATAAAACAATGCAATGTGCTTTTTCTAACACTCTTCAATTTAGTGTTAGATAATACGTTTATAAAAAAAGCTTACATAAACCTGAAAGTGTTGTCAAACTAGGACACACAATTAATTTTAAAGTTCGCAGATGACACAGACTCTGTAGGACACAGGCTCAGAGGCCTAAATAAGCAGGACATGTGCTGACAACTTATAACGAAAAACAGTCAAACAAATCTTACAAAAGAATTTTATTGGCAAGAAACATTCAGTTAATCCTAATGGCTTACCCTCTGAAGGGATAGCCGTATGAGACATAAATACCTTAAGAACACAAGGTATGATGGTCCGAAGTAGATGGGTTCTCGACTACAGAGGCGAAACCTCAAATCAAAGAAATATTGAAACATCTTCCTCTTTGTGTGCTGTGCTTGTATTCAAGCGTTGGCCTCAATATCGTCATATTTACAAGCTGATGAAATGATTCTCGGTCGGCAGCTAGATGAAACAGATCCTCGACCGTTCGACCTGTCCATTGTCTAATGTTACGCAGCCAGGACAGTTGTTTTCTTCCGACCCAACGTTTTCCTTCTATTTTGGCCTAAATGATTAACCGGAGTAAGCGATATTTAGGTAGTCTCATTATATGACCGAAGTATTGGATCTTTATTATTTTGATGATGTTGATCAATGCACGGTGACTAGCACACGTTCGTTAGATATGTGTGCTGTCCACGGGATTCTGAGTATGCGACGACAACACCATAACCACAGCCACCTTTACTTCCAAGCCATGAAGTATAAATTTGGCAACAACGCGTGGTAGTCCGACCGTGCTGACCGTGGTTTGTTTTGTTTAACATTTCATATAGGAAGGCTTGTAAAGTTTGTTGAATTTAATGTTTTTTTAACCTTATTCGAATGTTTTATTTGTAAATTGTATTTAAATCAATTAGAAAATATTAATATAAGTGAAATTTCATTAAGTTTAGAAGATTCTTAACGACAATTTAAAAGGCAAGTATAAATATAACCTACAAAACAAACTGAAAATAATAATACTTTTACTTCTTGTTACAAAATATGTAAACTAAAAACAACAATAATAATACTTTTGTTTTTTGTTACAGATGCCCTGGCATTGTTGTGTACCTGGTAGCAAAACCAATTATGCCAGTACTTTAAAAACGAAACAGGCAGAAAGTACGTTTTCGTTTCCCAAAGATCCCCAACGAAGGTATACTGGGTTATGCTCTATTCATAGAGAAGGCTATACAATTACCAAATCTTCCGTAGTATGTGCCAAACATTTTCATGAAGATGATATTCAGCGGACTGAACAATGAGAAGATAAAGATGGAAATGTACACATTGAAAAGTTAATATTTCCCAAATTAAAAGACAATGCAGTTCCTAATATATTTTCTGAAGTACCATCATATGTAACTGTTCATCGTACTAAAGAAAGAAGGAATCCCGAAGACAGAAGACACTTTTTGCATAAGAAGAGGGAACAAGAGATAACAGAATTCTTAGACAATGATTTAATAGATTCATTTGAATCATTTTTAAGAGTCTTAGACAATAATATCCCATTGAAAAACTGGACAAGTAAAATTACAAGTGACTGTGTATATTTCTATGTATTAAACATTAATCAGTTGGGACACGAGTGTGATAATATTTGTGTAATAAGTAGTGTAATAGTTAGCAGTAATTTTAGTGTAATCGTCAATGTAGGTAAGAATAGATTAAGTAGTAATGATTTGAAATGGATTTTACAATATAGTAAATTAACAAGATGGTCACAATTAGAGAACTTACTTTCTCGATATAGATCTGCTTTTTAGATAAGTGATAACAAATTTGAGCATTACATTCAAAAATCTTTTGAGAATATAGGCTATTTTAAATCGATATACAAGTTATAAATGGTATGTTACATTCAACACATTTTTCATGTATACCTCTTTTAACTTGGTCTATATGACAAAAAACCTATTCATATATAAAATTGCTACTTTCGTATACCTAAGTATGAAAATTCAACAAAAGTTATAAGTAAATAGTAAAATATTTAATTTTCAATTAGATTAATTTAGAACCATATTTATATTGTGTCTGATTTCTTAGGATGAATTTTTTAATCATAATAGTTACACTAAGTTTTTGCTTAACAAATTTTATATCTTTTGTATTTTTAATAATCTTTTTAAATGTCGTGTTAATGTATTGTGTTATTTATATGCTTAAGTACTTAATATTTAAAATTTCTAGAGATTCTTGACTGCATTTGATTGTAAGATTAACTGTTTGACACTGTATTTTAAGTGCAATAAATTTTACTCTAATGATTATTTTATTGATAATATAACCTTAATAATAATAAAACTTTATATAGATTTATTAGGTATATATAAGGTTTTATTAATTTAATTTCCTAAAAATATTTCTGTAATGAATTAAAGTTTTCAAAATATCAGTTTCCTAAAATTCAAATAAATTAGTTTAATTTTCTGGTAGACCTTACAGCTGATTATCGGACTACCGACGTCATAGAATGCGGTGTTGCCTTTTTTGCTTCATGGCTTGGAAGTAAAGGTGGCTGTGCCATAACTCAAACGCTTCTAATTTGTTAAGCTTTTTTATTTTTGTTGTCCAGGTTTCACATCCATAGAACAAAGTGGACCAGACGTAGCACTTCAATACTCTTAGACGTGTGTTCAACGACAGACTTCTACTGCATAATACAGAACGCCAGTTAATAAAGTTTTTCCGTGCGATAAAAGATACTTGGAAAATATAGAGCATTATATAATATTTATCGACGGTAAATGGTGTTTTGCCAAAATCCGGAACAAAGAAAGAAATATCCTAAACAAGGTTTTGGCTCATCATGAGCTGTAACAAGAATGAATTAAAAAAAAAACTCTAATGTTCCAGAATTACAGCTGTTCAACATCATGTGATAAATTGTATAATTCAACTTATTATAATCGCTATATCCGTAATTAAAAAAAAAAAACAGTTTTCTATGCGAATCCACTAAGCACCAAAGCTTTTAATTACTTTTTATCGATTTCTAATTAATAAAACATATTTATACCGAAAACTTCACTGAATAAAATTTAAATATTTATAAATTTTACTAATTGTTCTATTATTATTCATTACTTTTATTTGCTAATAATTTTTATATCGTTAACGAAATTTGCTATTATTGTAGAATATCTAGTACGTAATGTATTGGTTTTAAAATAATTATAACAATATTATACATCGTTAAGGACACAGGATAATTTTTGATAGGTTTAAAAAAAAAGTTTATTTTAATTTACTCAACATCACATAACTTCTATGAGAGCTGAAACTTAATTAAAGAAAATTTAGGAACTTTTGTAATACTTGGTAAAGATTTAGACATGTTACCTTCAAAAATAAATTGCTTTTACCTACAGTCCATCACATCTGCCAACCAATAACTAGTACATTTACCATAAATAATTTAAAAAAGTTGATATCACAAATATCTTTATAACGGGCTACTGGGGGAGTCCCTATCGTCCCGTAGACTAGTATCGGGAGACGACCTTTGCGGGGGAGTGTAAGGGGAGAATCTATGTTGCGCTAGTGGTCTCGCCAATGGAGACTGCAGCTGTGAACTACCAGCAGCAGCTACTGCGAGTTGGTGCTGATGCTGAGCTGCCAGTAGTGAAGGGCCCAAGCAAGCCCACTGGTTCCACAGAATTCCTGGAGGTACAGGATTACTTTGAGATCCTCCAGCACCCGAGTATAATCCTCCCATCAACGGACCGTAAGGGCCTGCAGCCGCAGCTGCTCGTAGAAAGAGCTGAGACCGAGCAGCTAGGATAGCTTTTTCTTCTAAGGATAGATTGTTGTTATGGGTGTCCATGTCTGCAAAGGGACGAAGAGGTGAGCGGAAATAATGCTGCTCCGCTAGCATAGACTCCATTGTTTCCCTGTAATCACAAAAACTGGTAACGGTTATTATAAATTTGACAATAGAAACAATACAAAGGTTAATAAATATTAGTTACAAAGATATTAAAAGATTTAAATTTGTTTTATTTATATATTATATTATAAATATTTCACAAGTATCTCGAAAAAAGTAGATGCCTCTCAATGGCAGAATATATTTAACAATACATTGGCTTATAGTCAGTTCTTCAGTAGTGATCCTGGTTTATCGAGAAAATGTTTGCGTTTGCTAAATCGTACACGATATGATGCTGATAGAGAAGACATTTGGACATCAAACGTCCGAAACAATTTTCAGGTCATAATAGTGCAAAAAAATTCTACAATGTAATAAAATTTATAGTGAAATAATCACATCTCCTGAGGTAAAACGGGAAGCAAACTGAGCGTCCGTTTGAATATCCGGATGGGGACTATTTTAGGGAGAACACCACTACATGTTAGATAAATTAGGAAACAGTCTTGGAATCTCGGAAGTCTAATAGTTAAGAGTGTGGAGTTGGTATATCTGTTTACAAGAAGAAGAGTAGAAATTACTTGCATTTAAAAGACTGGAAAAGACCAAGGGACAAAAGAAATATGTAAAGGGTCCAAATTGTGATATGTAGAGAAAACACCAGAAATGGAGTTGGTATAAGGTCTGAGAGTGATATGAAATGTAACGTTGTTGAAGATGTAAGAACCAGAAATATAATAATGGCAGTGAAATTTGTACTTAAGAAGCACACTTCCAAATCACATTTGGTCCATATTTTCACATTATGACTTCGAAATGGCGTTCGATTTGTCAAAGTATCACTTTATTAATTTAAGTACTCCTATGACATTCTAACACACCATTATCAAAAAAGATAAGAGAAGCCAAGGAGAAACAAAAAACAGAACAATGTTAAGAAACAGATGAGTGTCAGAGCCGATATAATAACTTCAATGTCTATCGAAATGTGAAAGAAATAGCTGGAAAGTTCCAAAAACGCAACAGCGGAAAAATAAGAGATGATGAAGCTAATTTTGCCGTAACCAAAGAAGATAAAAAGAAAGTAGGAAAGAATACTTGGGGAAACTTTTTCACGACTTGATGAAAGTCCTTCAGAACTGCTGAAACTATTAGATGCAAAAAAAAATAAAAATAATAACTGAAATATTTGGTGAAGTATACAAGACAGGAAAAATACCAGAAGAGTGGCTCAAATCGGAGTTCGTACCATTGTACACATTGTTTGTGATGACTAGAGGACCATCAGCCTTCTGAGCCATCTGCTGAAGCTGTTATTAAAAGTTATCTACAAAAGAATTTACCGAAAATGCGAGCAACAAATTACGCTCAATCAGTTTGGACTTGTGAACACCGTATGCACGCTTTATTTAGCGTGCAGGTACAGTTTCAGAAATGTAGATATGTGAGCTGTAATGGTTTTGCATGCCTAATTGACTACAAGAAGGCAAGAAGAAGAAAAGAGTTAGGCATGAACAAAGGATGGAAGTGCTGAAGAGGACAGGGATTGACAGAAGATACCTAAAAATAATAGCTAACCTTAAATAGAATCTATCAGTGGTGCTCCGAAAAAAAAGAGAATATACAGATTAGGCTAAAATCTTTAGGGGAGTGAGATAGTGGTACATAATTTCACCACTGATATCCAATCTGTCCTTGGAAAACATTTTTGAAGAGGCATCTCAATAAATGGAGTTGAACTTAATAATCTGCGGTATGCAGATGATAAAATAGTGTTTTCCAATGCCAAGCTAATGATCATCAGCAAGAAAAACATAACTATAGCAAATCTGTATGTGAACCAAATGAGAATTGAACATGTCTCACAGTACAACTACTTGAACACAAGTCAAGATCAAGAAGTCGTGGGACAATACCCAAAAGATTAAATGTCGCATCGGAAAGACAAAACCTGCATTTTTGACAATGAGCTCTGTTTTCAAGAGCCACGGCCTCACCCTAAAAAAAATAGGGCTCCTTAAATGTTACGTGTATTCAGTGCTTCTGTACGAAGTGGAAACGTGGACACTGAAGGTAGAAACTCTATCAAAACTTCAGGCTTTTGAGTTATAGTTATACAGAAGGATCCTGAAGTTACCATGGACAGATAAAGTCACCAATAAAGAATAACTACGGAAAATGAACACAATCGCGGATTTGGTCAACATCGTGAATGGCCGTAAGCTGCAGTATTTGGGACATTTATTGAAAAATCAAGGCAGATATGTGCTACTCCAATGCATTTTGCAAGGCAAAATTGAAGGAAAAAGGGCCCCAGGATGAAGAAGAATATCCTGGCTTGCTAACCTGGAAGCATGCTATAGAAAGACCTTAAAACAGGTATTCCGTATAGCAACCAACAAAGTCATCATTGCCAGAATGATCGCCAACGTTCGGAACGAACAGGCAGCCTAAGAAGAACAACAGTCTAAGCGTAATATTTCACGTATATTTTTGGCTTCAAAAATCACCAAGACAAACAAAAGGCATTTTGGCTATTTGCGAAAAACAAGCAAAGAGCTCTATTTTGGACAAAATGTAACTCGTTATTGTATTACCGTTATGTATTACCATGTAACGACTTTATTTTGCTTTCTTGTATTGTATGAATCAGCAGTATCTGATATTATTGGTACTTAATACGTTATTTTTGCAATTAAACAAATAAATAAAAAAACGAGCAAAGGTGAGCATAGAGTGGGTGATACAAATAGAGAAACAAGAAAAAGCAAAATAAATACTACGCCAAAAGAACGTAAGAAAAAATAAGGTACATTGCAGGTTATATTGTGATATTCAGATTTGGATCCAGAATTACTGAATTTAAAAAAAATTGTGTTCATAATTAAAAAAAAAATTGAATGGAGAAAACATTTGTTGCCTGACGGAAGAATGAATTTTTACGATAATAAACAAAATAGCACAGATGAGGAATATAAATGAAATAAAATGCCAAAGGAAGAAAAAGAATGGTAACATTTCTGGAAATGAGAAATTCTTTAATAGACGAGTGAAAAGACAAAATGTATAAGATTAAGAACGAAAAAGGTCACACTAATTAATGCCAAAAAGACAGTCTAGATTATGATAAAGGTGATTGTTAATTTTAGATCTTTCTTCCAGAAAAATCACTAACAAGTACATTTTTGGAATATTTCTTTACATGGCCACATTTTTTGAAGAGGTTACATCGCTGTTCGTATAATATTTTTATTTGCCGGACAACAAATTCAACCTTTTGAACAACTTCTGATCTCGGTATTCGTATGGGTAAATTTAGTGTAAATATTTTGCATAGTTTTCTTTCAAGCGTATCTAAATTAAATATGTAAATTGCAAATATGTAATTTTTGTGTAAACTTGCCAATCTGAAAATTGAAATGTCTATTTTCTGGTTACTATTGACGACGAACATTTGTCAGATTTTATCGTGTATGTATTAAAGTATGCATTAATGTTTATAATACAATATAATACAAGTTTGATATTACTTTATTATAAAATATTAACATGTCATGAAAATTTTAAGAACATTTTTATAGTAATGTTTAAACGAATTGGATACATAATAAGTGTACAGGTAATATGTATTTTAATATCTGTTACTCTTAATAGCTATATAGCTCGCTCTGGCTGTACAGAATAATCCTAAGGATATCATGGATTGACAAAATAACCAACGAGACTGAACTACGAAGAAAGAGGAAGAAAAAAAGTGATGTATACGATTAAAAGGAGAAAGTTATAATATCTGGGACACATAATGAGAAATGACACTAAATTAAAATTACTGAAAATAATCCTTCAAGGCAAAGTATTCGGAAAGCGAGGAATTGGGAGAAAAAGAATATCATGGTTAAAAAACCTGAGAAAATGGTTCTCCACCACAACAACTAATCTATTTAAAGAATCAAATTTAGTTAATCAAATAATTATAGCCAAAATGATCTCCAATATTCGAAACGAACAGGTATTAAAAGAAAAAAACACTTAAAAATAACATTTAAAATAATTATTATCTATAAAGCTAACCCCCAATTAGCTACCTTTAAAGAGAGAATTGAACCAGCACTAACCAGAATAGGGAACAATCAGTCAGAACAAAGCGTGGATGAAGCCTGGACAGATATTAAAGAAACCATCGTAACAACAGTGAACCAATGTCGCCAACCATCTATAAATAATAGCATTAAACCATGGATCAGCAGAAACACGTGGAAAGTGATTGAACAAAGAAAGCAACTTAAAGTTGGCCCCTGTGATCAACAGACATATAAAGCTCTCTCCAGAGATATTCAACGAAGATGCCGAAAAGACAAACAAGAATACATCTCTGAAATCTGCCAAGAAATAAAAAATCACGGATATCGAAATGAAACCAAAGACCTCTTCCGGAAAGTGAAAATTCTTGCGAGAGAATTTAAACCCAAGAACTATGCAATAGAGGACAAACATGGTATTATCATAAGTGATATCGACAGAGTGTTGGAAACATGGAAAAACTATTGTTCAGAGCTCTACAGGGAAGAACACGTAAATCTAGGCCACACTTCAGCCCTCGAAAACACTGAATACAACCCTGAACCTGAAATTCTGCTGTCCGAGATTGAAGAAGCTGTAACTCACCTCAAGAAGAATAAATCCCCTGGCTGCGATGATATCACGGGAGAGCTCCTTCAGAACATGGGAGACAAAGGATGTTACATAATGTGGAAACTTTGTAATAAAATTTGGAGATGCGGAAAGTGGCCCAGAGAATGGCGCACATCATTGTGCATACCAATCCATAAAAAAGGAACAACTACAAAGTGTAGTAATTATCGTACCATCTCACTGATTTCCCATCCAAGCAAAATATTACTAAGAATCATTAAACGCCGTTTGCAACAGTACTTAGACAACCAAATTCCCCAAGAACAAGCAGGCTTTGTCAAAGGGAAGGGTACGAGAGAGCAAATCCTTAATATGCGGCAGCTCATAGAA